GTATTATTTCTCTCTCTTCCACCCCCGGTGAATTAATAATAACAGGTGTAGCTCATCTAGTTATTAAGTATTGCGAGTTTTTTGTTGATGTTGTGTTGTTGAAAAAATGACGTAAATAAACGAAGAGTATGAAGCCTTCCTTGCTACTAATTATAAAAAAAGTTTGATTCCTGATTGTCACCTGAAATTTAGCATAAAACAACTCTTTTTATCTTCAAAATATTGTAATGTGCCTATGAGCTTTCTCTGCTTATGAAAATAATTCACCTCACTCGTTTCCACGCAGGCCAGGGTGCGATAAAGCATTGGTTATAGAGACGAACAGCTGATGCAATGCGGGTAAAATTAATGATTCTGGGGAAGTTTGACGATTGCAGTGTTTTTACACGGTGTTCTTGTCTGTTAGTTGTCATAATTATTTTGTCCTAACATCAAAAAAGCATCCAGAATGGTCAGTGACACGCACGCTCTGCTAAAAGTGTTAGAAATTGGAATGCCAGACAGATCTTTGTGGTGGATCTCTAAATTGTTATGAGGTCACAAGTTATTTGGTTAGTTAAAGTTCGAGTGAGTCTTGTTGAAGAAACTTTTTGTGAGTGTGAGTTCGAGTAAGTCCGGTTCAGGAAACGTTTTGTTAGTATGAGTTTCATTGGACCCTATAAGCACAAAATACAAAGCACACCAGATGTAATCAGGTTAACCTCCAAGAATTTCCTTTGCTTCTCTTTTTCTCTCTCCCGAGAGTGTGTCTAAGCGAGCTCAACATTTTACCGTGATAGCGTTAAGGAGCTCGTTTCGTAGAAACTCCGGCGTCGGAGTTGCTGGTTGTGAGCAAAAAATGACCTTGTTCGTGGCCAGAAAAACGAGAGGGATGCCAATAAAATAAATAGGAACTAAAAAATTTGTGGTAGGAGTGGGGATTGAACCCGGGTCGTTTGCATGGTGTTGTAATCAGCCCACAAGTGTTGGCAGCGTACGAAAGCGTAGAGGGACCACGGCTTTGCAGCGCTTCTTTAGATTTCCAGAATCGGCTACAACCCAGCAGTTGTATACTGTGAATTCTTTAGGGCCATTGGCTCGCCTATTCAAAAGCCCTTTGGGAACGCAGGACCAACAAATTACCTAGAAAAGGTGTTTTGCTCTCTGGACTGCCTGAAAAGAGTGGTCACCTCCGCGTTGCTGGGGTCGCTCGAATCCACCTGACAGTGAGCCGAGCGTCAGAGAACCATCTACGGGGAAGTTTCTTGTATTCCAAGAGTCTTTCTAGACTTCATTTCCCGCGAATCGCGGCCAGCCCCGCAGTGATGCCTCCTCGATGAGTTGTCTCTGTGCATGAGCCTCCCCGTCATCACACTATGCTGGTTGTGGAGTGTATTTTGTGGGTTCCCTCCTCACCATTCGACACACTGGGTCTCTTTCGCTCTTTCAGGGGTCGGGAAGGAGGCGGTGTCTGACTTTTCACTGGGGGGGTGGGGTGGGGGGTGAAAATCAAGGCAAGGTTTACATTGGACTGTCATGGCTTCAATTGTTTTCTCTGCAGGAATTCTCGGGAAGAACAAGACATAAAAACTCGAGTGCAAGACGCTCCAAGAGCTTCCTTTTCTTTTCAAGTAGTATTGCGCTACCTAAATATTACAAATATGTGTAAATAAACGTTCCAGTTTTCCGCTCCAGTTCCTCGGCTCGTCTTTGCCTTGACCCTTTGATGGCTCCGGATCCCGAATACATTCACCCAATCACCACTGTGGGTTCGAATCCCATCGTTACAACCACTATTCTGATATATTACACTAAACATAGGTGCGATACTTAAAATGCCTTATTTGAAGGACGCTGAAGAATAGGAAAACACTTATCGCTTTTCTTCATGGCGAAATTAAAGACGATATCGAGATTTTTAATTTACCTTCAGGTATAATAGTAACTGCTGTTGTCATCCACGCCAGGTTGTTAGAGTTCTGACGCCTAAAAATAATGATAGTCTCTGACACAAGTGCTTGAGTCGAACTTTATCCGATATGAAATGAACTCCACAGGCGAGAAAAGAAACTACGTGCATCACTTAGTCCTAAATTGTCGCGTTCCGATCCACCAGATCTTTATAGTCGTAACAAGCTGTTAATATTGTAGAAAAGTAGACCATTGAAAAAACGTTTTGGAGCTAGGTGCATGTGAACTTAACAGACCATGATATCGTGAAGTTTGAAGTATTTCGTGTAACAACTTTATTTATGAAGTTGTCATTATCTCAATGTTCTCCCGTTAATACTGTCCAACTTCTTCTCAAGGCTCATTATCAGGCCCACAGAAATAATCAAAGTGCGTTAAAAACGCAATTCACCATCGAGAAGTGTTCCAAAGTTCAGTACTAATGATTGGCAGCTTCCGACGACAAACGAGCCATACACTTAGAGAAAGCATGGTTAACGATGGGTCTCGCGTAATGCCACGTATTTGTCGGTGAATACCTTATTTCTTCTTTCTTGCTTTTCTTCGGTGCCCTACTTTTCCGAACAAAATGCTACACACGTAATTAAATGTCCTCAGGGCTTGTTTACTTTCTCGGCAGTTTGCAAAGGTTCATGCCCAAGAGGAGGTTTTCTGCCCTAATTGCTTTTGAATGTGCTACATTGCTTAGAATAAACGCTAGATACTCGAATGACGTACGCCATTAGAAGTAATTTATTTAAATGTTGTAAGCATGTGAATTGAGCTCTAACTGTAGTTCACACAGACATTGATCGGTGGCCAGGTTTTTTAGGGGAATAACAAACAAGATAATGGACAGACAGACAGACAGACAGACAGACAGACAGACAGACAGACAGACAGACAGACAGACAGACGGACAGACAGACAGACAGACAGACAGACAGACAGACAGACAGACAGACAGAGAGGCGGAGAGGCAGGCAGGCAGACGGAGAGGCGGAGAGGCAGACAGACATACAGAGAGCCTGAGAGACGGACGAAAGGATGGACTGGACGGTGCTGTACTGACAGACCAACCGACGGACCGCCCGATTGACCAACTGACGCGCATAAAAAGAGGCGAATCCCGACCCTGATTTCGCCCCACTCATTGTCATTGAATCCGTGGATATGCTTTGATTCTTTATAATATTACCGTGAAGGCGAAATGGCTTTGATGAGGGTGGGGATAAAATGCATGAAATATGGTGAACAGAACAGTGAAACGAATTCAGGTGAAAGAATATTTCACTGTAATATTTTGCATACTTCAAGAAAATAAAACCAAATGAATGAACACGAGCAGCAAGTACAAGTCGCATATTCTCCGAGTTATAGACCGTGTCGCCAGAGCCGGCTGATCTCTGGCGACGTTATGCGTTCACCGAATAATCACCCCTGTAAACTTCAGGTTTAGCTTGTTTTTACGTGGTTTCCGCGTTTGTTGATGGCCGTGGCAGCTTGTGTTCCGATGTTTTACTCGGGTGTTGTCCGTGCACGGTTCGTAGTCGTTAAATTTGATTTTTTTAAAGCGACGCTGGCGAGTGGGCTCTTATCTCTGCGAGCAAATGAGTCATTGGTTATCTTTCTACTGCTAATGAATGTCGCCGCATTCTAGCTAGTTTATCTTTTCGGTGTGAACATAGAGTGTAGGTTTAGGTAGGTTCAACTTGAAAGTTTGACTCATGAGTAGACTCGTCAGTTAACCACAATAGTTCACGTTGCCCTGCAGCCACAGTTGACGCCAGCACATCAGTACATTTTGTGATTTCTCAGTCACAAGATTGATTGATTGATTGATTTATATGTGGGGTTTAACGTCCGAAAATCACCATGTGAATATGAGACACGCCGTAGTGGAGTGCTCCGGAAATTTCGACCACCTGGGGTTCTTTAACGTGCACCCAAATCTGAGCACACGGGCCTACAACATTTCCGCCTCCACCGGAAATGCAGCCGCCACAGTCGGGATTCAATCCCGCGACCTCCGGGTCAGAAGCCGAGTACCTTCGCCACTAGATAAGTGCAACGAGGCCTCAGTCACACGAACACTTCGGAACGTGAGCAATTCCGATCGCCGCCGATCTTTTTAAAGAGTACCCAGGGTGACACAGGCGCAGAAATAAATGTTTTATGCTGAGGTTGTGTGCTTATACGAAAACACAAATAGTTTCAGTGTTCAACAGAAAGAAGGTTTTCCGTTCCACTCAAAAATCTGAATTTAACAATTCTACTATGAATCTAGCAACTCTTCGCCTGCATGTCGACAATGTGGGTTCGCTTTAAATACGCGGACAGGCAAAACACATGTGTGCGCAGTCATTTCCAGGTACGCTTCATTAAAGTGCATCCACATCGGCGACATGCAGAACCAACTGGCCCAACGATGTACGCTGACAAAGTTCTGGTACAATTCATGCATTTTCTGTTTGTATAGGCGCGACCACTATAAGAGGTAACACGAGGCAGTGGGCCACGCTCATCGGAACACCTTGACCGATATTTTGCGCAGCGCCTGTCGGCCACGTGAGCCGTGTTACCTGCAGCAGTGGCTGCGCCTGTACCTGTGTTACATAGTGCAGTCCGCACAGTCGGCCATATCTTTAGCTATCGTGCACTAGTGGCAGTTTTGTCTCCGTATCTTTGCCATACAACTACAATATGATTGAAAAAAATGTGGGAACAAGTGTATGCTCCAAAGGCACATGTCCACGAAGAAGTCTTTTGTAACTTCATTTCATATGACGCTGAGATACAAAAAAGTGGCCGGGGCGCACAGTACTAAAGTTTTCTCCGACTGTACCTTATTACTATGATCAAAATGGTTTGAAATATACAGAGGTTGGAGTATGGGGCCAATAATAAGTGTTGGATGGAGAAAATCTTCATAAACTAATGAACGATAGGTCACTTTGCTTTGATGAGCCAGTGCAATAAGTGATAATTATTTCTCAATAAGTTTATACTCAATGAGAAATAAATATCGTTCCAGTCCAGATTAAAGTATTGTTTTTATTTTTGACTTGCAGTGTGCAGCATGCTCAAGCAGGGCGTGTCCGTGGTGCTCGGACCTCGCACTCCCTCCGTGGTGTCCGTGCTGGGTTCCACATGCAGTGCCTTCCACGTGCCCCATGTACAGACCAGCTGGAGTGCGCCTGTGGCTGATCCGGCGTCGGGCCAGCGTCTGTTCTCGGTCAATGTGTATCCACATCCGGACGTACTCAGTCGTGCCTACGTGGACCTCGCGCTCAAGACGAGCCGCTGGAAGAGCGTCACCGTTATCTACGAGGAAAGTGACAGTGAGTACGTCAGCTGGAGCCCAGACAAGTGTGCACCTATGTTACAAGGGTACAAAAATATTTTCTTGCTTGCCTGGTTTCACTTTTCTTATTCCGAGCCATCGAGAGATAGTCGGTGAAAAAGATCGAAGGAAGTACTCAGCGTTAAGCGCTTATTGTCTCATAATCTCGTTCGTCCGTTCCTTCGTCCATTCCCTGGAATGGTGCCAGCAGTTCCCACTACCCCTTGTACTCTCTCAGTGGTGACGTCATTGCCAGCGACTCATAGCAACAGTTGCACCACCAGATCTGTTGCCCCTCCCTCTTACACCCTCTCACCAATCACGTCTTGGCAGAGATTGTAAAAGCAAAATAAATAAATGACAAAAACATAAGAAGAAGGACAAAACAAAAGAAATTAGGGCCTAGTTGCTCTAATGGCCACGGGCTTTCATAGAACACGTTTTGAAATTCACAAAATACCCATAAATTTTTATCACAGGACGGAACACGAAAGCACGGAAACACAAGAGCTAAATTACAACAATGCTCTCTTTGAAGCTTGATCAAAAATATATACATCTAAATGCAAAAACCCAGGTATGCGCATACGTGGAGGCATCAACGAATGGCAGTTGCGTTCTAGTTCAAGATAATGTAGGTGAGCTGGCCTGATCTTCGCCCAAGTTATGTTCCGTGGTTCGTTCCGTAAATATCCGCGTGGGGGGATCGCCATGAGTCTGTATATGGATAATTCATGAAATGGAGGCGAACATTTATACGTGTCACATGCACAGTTCACAAGCATGCGTCGTCCTTTTTACGTTTTAGCATAGCCACTCTTAAGATATACTGTAGAACTGTCGGGGTGAAGGCAAGCATTTAGGCTAAAGATATATGTAGGATGAACTGAATGTGGAACTTTGCTTAATCACAGGGAACCAGACACAACATTTGTTACAAATTCTTAGGTGAGAGAATAGGCCACTACTTAAACGAAATGAGCCCATATTTCGAGATATCAAATATTATTTATATTAGCGAAGCTTCCACTCGTTCGCGTCTATCTTCTCGCAGGTTTTGTTCGCATGAAAGATGTGCTGAACACCTCGTTCGCACTGGGCGCCGCAGTCAACCTGATGCTGTATCGGCCAGACGGTGGTGCCGTCAAGACACTGCTTAAGCGGGTCGACCTCGCCAAAGAGTTCAACATCGTGCTTGACGTGCCTACGGAGCGTGTGTACGAGTTCCTCGAAGCGGTAAGAAAGGTTTTCTGTGATGCCTGTATGGTTTCATTTCGACATTGCTGTCACCAATAGTTTTATTAGAAATCTATAATTCACAGTCCTATATATTGAGGCTATGAAAGCATAAACCTCGGTCTTGCATCCTGGCGCAAGCAGACACTTGTGTGAACAGTTCAGGCATTTGTCTTGCTTTCGTGCTTGGCAAGGAGTGTTTAGATAGCACGAATTCGCCGTTTTCTCAAGTGGCCTCTTTTCATAGATGCAGAGTCCTGTGCTGACACTCGTAGGAGCTACCGGCCCCTTCATTATGAGTTCAAACAACATATATCATGTTCGTGGCCAAGAGTCTATATAAATCAAGTGTGGCGTTTGGATCAGATGATCTTCTTGCCTCCATGCAGGAAGGTAGGAAGGGACAGGAGATGAAAAAACGGCAGTCATGCTAATTAGTCTAGAAGGAATAGTATGCTACCCGACAGTGGGGACAGGGATGAGGGAGGTTGAAAGAAGACATTATCAAACGCCTTCTTTAGGTGAATGAAAACAACAGCCACAAGAAAGCTCACTTAGTAATATTAAGAGTTATGAAAGTTCACTTACTAACATTTTCTGCAAAACACGTTACCGACAACTATTTAACCGATTTAACCGAGGTGTCATTATTATTTGGGTGGTGATTAATGCTGCTACTGCAGGAATATATGCAGCTGACGCTGGCTCCAAACAGAGCTGTGTGTTTCTCATTGGTACAGCATGGACACAGAAATTGGGGTTGCTGCCTAAGCTTTATGCAAGCCTATACATTACATCAATGCACGAAGTGAAGTTGCTTGGCCGCAGAGCAACATCTTCCTGAAATAGTAACTTTTGATAGATGGCTTGTATCGACATCACTGAAAACAGCCCAGCACCAACGTTATGTGTCAAGAACTTCATGGTGTCCCGATAGTGCTTTCAATACAGCGCACGTGAATTCTTTCACGACCAGGTTAATGGCAAAGTGGTCGTACTGCCTAGATATAGCATACAAAGATGTGAAGTTTCAACCACTTTCGACTTTGGTTTCGTTTTTTTTCCTCCCCACAGCAAGTTATTGTTTCACCTACTTTTGTTTCTTCACATTTACCTTACATTTCAGTCTAATACCTTCCCCTATACTTTCCTTGGCATTATTTTCTGTTAGATTTTACTAATATTGTGTCAGAACACGGGAAAACTCCCAAGCATTTCCCCGAGGGTGAACATGGTTAAGTGCGAATGCACGGGGTGATGCCATGAGGGGGAGTAAAGTTAAAATCCGTTGGCATTCGCCAGTGAGTTAACGTAAACTCCCCCGTGTGATCTCATTGCGATTTCCAGGAACTATTAGACCCTCTCGGAAAATCTTGGTCAGTTAACGCGTATATGTGAGAGTAAATTTGTACTATAAAGATGTTTATGTCCGCGGCCCGTTTCGTCCGCTTGAGCTCAGCATCACGTGCCCTTCGCCGCGCTGCTTTGTCTTCAACCGGCGCGACATCTTGAACGACGCGTGTAATGCTCGCATTCGATTGCGTTTTACTCGTTGTTGGAGGTATTGCAGTCGAGGTTGATGCCTGCGATGGATCCATACCTATGACGACTTGCCGATCTCGAGCAAGTCGTGGCTGCGTGGGCTATGGAGCAGAGGGCGGAGCACGTGCAATCACGTGGTGTGTGGCGTCGCTGCGCCGTTGCTGCAGACGCTCTTCTCCACTCCTCGCGCCGTTGCTAAGGTAGAGGAGGTGGCGCACCGCAGACGGCGGATTCAGGGTCGCTTATAAAGTGCATTTGCACTTAAAATGAGCCCTTAAGTTTACACTTCATTCCCTTACTCATTAACGAGAGTCTCGCACTGGCGGACTTGTTGCCTTAGGTTGTATACGAGGGACTATGGGTCAGCTGCCAGGTTGTAATAAGTTCACGTGCTACGTGAGGCCACACAGGCTTATAAAGAGTGTGCCACACTCGCCGCCATGGCTACTGATGGCACTGACACACTCCTGCATTTAAATTCACATATTTATTTATTTTACTTATTTTGAACATACTGTTAACACTTTGGAGGGTTTCACAGGAGTGGGAGCAAAAAAAAAAAAAAACAACAGGCAGCCACATCAAAAGTAACAATACAATACGATTTGGTCAGAGCAGCGTTGATAAACAAGTACAATTTAACAAGGAAACTACATGCTCAAATAAGAAGGCAGAGGATGCATTATTAATTTTATATAATCCTCGAAATGGGTAAGAAAAGTTTACACACTTGTAACAGTTGGCTTAAATACAAATATTTGCAATCAACGCAATACCAGGGGGCAATTGTGAAATGAAAATGCAGTGCATACTAAATTATCAGGCTTATTATCAAATGATTTGTGCATTTTGCAACACTTTTTTATAAAATCATCAACTGTACGCTGCTCGGCTACAAGTTGGTCAACAGCATTTCATTTTCGAGTGCATCTAGAAAAAAAAAGAATTATAGAATTTGTTGATGTCGCACGACTTTTCTTGTAGTGTGTGATCATGTGTGTGACGTGTTTCAGTTGTCGTCTTGGTTTAACCGTATCTTGCATGGTCTATCTTAACACAATTGTGCAATAACTGATATAGAAACTTCGTGCGATGAATTTCTACTCGACTTTCGGGTGTGGGCAAACCAGCGCGGTGTAGTAATTCAGTTGGGCAGTCGAGGTGGCGATACCAGTTGAAAACAAATCTAATCGCTTTACACTAAACGTTTTCAAGCATGCTGATACCGCTACCCGTGAATGGGAACTAGATTATGCTTATATATTCCAAGACTGGTCTGACAAGTGTGACGTATGGTAGATGCTTAGTGTCACGGTCGGCATGTCGCAGCCGCTTAAGGAAAAACAATAACTTTAAGGCCTTCTTTGCTACGTTTTCTATGTGCGCTGTCCAAAAAAGTTCGGAAGTTTTAAACACACCTAGATATTTGTACTGGCTTACATTTTGTAGCACGATGTTGTTGTAACCATGATAGAAGGGTAAGCGTGATTTTCTTTTTGTGTTTTGCACCGAGACTGTTTTGTCATAATTAATCGCCATTTGCCAGTTAGAGCACCATTGTACAACGCAATTTAGGGCATCTTTCAATTCAATTAGGTCACTGCAGCTTTTGACCTTTTTATATAATATGCAGTCGTCTGCAAAATGTCTAATGTTTGCGGTAATGTTGGTTGTTAAATAATTTTAAAATAGAATGAATAATATCGGTGCCAAGACGGATCCCTGAGGCACACCGGACGTAACGTTCAGTCTTTCAGAGACATGATCGTTGCATTGCGCAAACATCCAATAAAGTGGCTCGGAAAATAGCCACCGTGGTAGCTGAGTGGTAGAGCATCGAACGCATTGCTCGAAAGTCGCAGGTTCGGCAAATCGGTCTAATAACTTCCCCTATACTCTCCTTGGTATCATTGCCTGTTAGATTTCATTATTACTGTCTTAAAACAAGCAAAAACGAGCCCTGAAATATACAATTCTTTCCCTTTTATATATATATATATATATATATATATATATATATATATATATATATATATATATATATATTGAATTAAATTGCAGATAGCACATATGAAAAGGATTGTATTTACTAACGTTTCGGCCGTGGCACGGCCTTCTCCGACGAAGGCCGTGCCACGGCCGAAACGTTAGTAAATACAATCCTTTTGTTATGTGCTATCTGCAATTTAATTCAATATAGAAAATACCCGGACCTGTCGTGCCTTCCCTTCAAGTTATTATATATATATATATATATATATATATATATATATATATATATATATATATATATATATATATATATATATATATATATATATATATATATATATATATATATATATATATATATATATATATATATATATATATATATATATATATATATATATATATATATATATATATATATATATATATATATATATATATATAAGGGAAACAAGTGTATAATTAAGGGCTCGCTTTTCAGTGTTTTGACACAATAATAATGAGATCTAACAGACAATAATGCCAAGGAATGTGTAGGCAAAGTTATTAGGCCAATTGTAATGTAAATGAGAATGACGTGTAATGTAAATGAGAATTCACGAGAGTTTCGTACTGGCAGAGTTGGTGCCTTTAGGTTGTATACGGGGGACTATTGGTCGGCTGCCAGTTAGTAATAAGTTCACGTGCTACGTGACGCCAAACGGGCTCATAAAGAGTGTCACTCACCGCCATGGCTACTAGTGGCGTTGACTGACACTCCCACGTTTAAATTGACATAGATACCCAATAAAGTCGCTGCGGGGATAGCTGTCGTGGTAGCTCAGTGGTAGAGCATCGAACGCGTTATTCGAAGGTCGCAGGTTCGGATCCTGCCCACGGCAAGTTATCTTTTTACCCACTTTTCTTTCTTCTCATTTACATCACAATTAGCCTAATAACTTCCCCTATACATTCCTGGGCATTATTGTCTATATATATATATATATATATATATATATATATATATATATATATATATATATATATATATATATATATATATATATTCAAGAAAAGACTTGTAAAAGTTTTCAAAAGCAGTGCAGGCTCGATACTTGAATGAGGCTACAAGATTACGGATACCTATTCCTTCCCTTATATTTTTTTCTGTGCCTGTGTTCTCGGTCCTCTTCATCTCGTCGCCACTCGTCCTTAGCTTTGTTAAGCAATCTGAACACTATAAAAATATACAACTACATTGCACTCCTTTAGGTATAGTTTAATAAAGCCATGTATAAAGGTAAGATTGAGGCTAAAGAGTGAGCTAGTTGGTCGGGTAGCGCTATTGATTGAACAAAATGCAAGATGGACGGGCGAGTTACACCAACTGTTCTTGTACAAGAGACGGAATGGAACTCGGGAAGCAGTAGACCAATAACTGCTGCCGATATGTGCACAGAATCTGCCTTATACCATACAAAGAAGGC